TGACTTTTAACAACTTACTCCTGGCATCTTAATGACTTTTTCAATGAAATCTATTGGAAGATGGTTTGGGGTCACCATTTACATGATTTATTGAGATGTTAAAAGTGGCAAAAATACATCAAAATCACTTTGGGGTATAAGTCACATAAGTGACTCGTGCACACACAGTACCTGAGAAGCAGAACTGAGTGGTATTATGCATTGCACACATCAGAGAATCAAAATTTCCCCTTATAGATGATTCATGCAACAACACGTGTTTCTCTTACCTGCTAGTCTCATCTGTGGTATGCACTTCCCTCAGTCTCCTGACAACCCATGCTAGTGGCCCATGGTAGTGGAAAATAAGGAGTGAAAGCTCTGTTCCACGTGCCATTCTGTGTTGATGCTGCTTTGGTTTCCTTGCCTTACTTTCCATATTGGTTATTTTCCATTTGAAGAAAGTATAGGATGGCCTCGGCAGATACTGACTAGCCAGGAAATTAGATAAGTGAGATGAAGTTCTAGATGCTGAATAATTGGGCCTGATCTCAAAGCCTGATGCTGCATAAACCACAAGGTTTATTACTGTGAAAGGGCCAGTCTGAACTCTCCCCTTTTCCTGTGGGATAGTCAAGGATGCTTGTGAAAGGAGGGATGGGTTCAGGTATTGGTTGTGAGTCACTGTTCTTTCCTGTAAGTGGTAGATCTAGCTACAGGGCCTGTTAAATGCAGCCCTGTTGACCAGAGATGTGAGCTGAGTTGTGCCATCTTATATGAGCAAAAAGTCCTTCAGAAGATACCACTTATGGTTCCAGGTTTGCCTGCTGTACACCCCCTCCCCACCACGTCCCCTTTCCTATATCCTAACAATGCAGAATTGTCTGACGCTTTGGTTAAGAGGTTTACTATTACCAAAGAGAATGGAATGAGTGATTGCAGTCAGTACCACAGTTCTGCAGAATCAACTTGCCCTCCATTTAGCACCACTAAAGCAGGAATGCAAAGATGCCAACGTGACTATTCTAGCAGAACATTCTTTTATGTTCAAGTGCCCTGAAGAGACGTGAAGCAAATCTGGAGTTAATGTTTTCAAAGAGGACTTACTAATTCCAAGTGAGGACTTGGACATGAACAGAATCTTTAATTATGACTATAAAAGAAATTTTAATTGGAACACAATTTTTATGCTAATGGGCATGGTTTCATTGAAAATACAAAATCTCATCTAAAAACTCCAATCACTAACCTCCCCAGATAAAGTGACATAACTCACCTAACATCACAATTATGCCATTGATGTGCCAGTTCAGGTAGACAGTCACATAATTTGATTTCAAGAATGGGCATATCCCATTTTGTCTAAGGTACTCTACAGTGTTCCTAGGCTCCACTTGAGTACAAGTGAGTTTTGTTTCTTAAAAGTAAGCAAGTCTTTTAGTTCAAGTGAATGTTTCAAGCTAGGATGTATATTTTGAGGGTCTTAAAACCTTAAATACTTAATTATATAGTTTGACAAATATTTACTGCCCTTGTACTGTGTGTTAATACCTGTGATACAGGCAATTCCTGCCTTTATGGAGCTTACATAGTATGACTTACCCTTTTCAAGATGTAAGGTACAGCTGGTTAGAATGTGCTTCAGTTGACTTATGTTATAAGGGATAATTTCATTTAGTATCTGGGTCCATATCTGAAAGATTCAACTGTTAGAACAAACTGTGAAGACACTATTATATCTATTTATACCCCACCATCACATTTCCAAAATGATTTGGGGTGGTTTATAAACAAATATTGAAAAATGCAATAATCAGAAAAGGGGATTAAAGCTTAGCAAGAAGAGAACAGGAATATAAAACCAATTCATTAGACCTCATACTGCAGGCTCCAGCCAATCTGGCTATGAGCTTCCTAAGAGCAGAGCAAAGAGCCAACTGGCAAATTAGTGATTTGGCAATTGAATATAACTACTTTTTTAATTTTTAAAGTTTTCTTGGTGGCTGGCCAGTATGGGGATCTGAACCCTTGACCTTGGTGTTTTAACACCATACTCTAACCAACTGAGCTAAATGGCCAGCCCATGAATATAACTCTAAAATGGAGGAGGGGAGAAGTCATTTGGATTCTAGGCTCCCTGAACCCAAGTGAAAAGATGCTTTTTCCCTCATGCTCTCAAGTACTTTGAAGGAAGAAGTAGAACAGAGAAGGTGTCCAGATTAGTAAAAAGGGATCTAGAGAAAGTGGAGTCTGATGCATTTGGCTCTAGTGCAGAGAGGTCAGTTGACTGAGTGGCCTCCATGAGCCCCAGCAGACTCCGCTGATTGCCAACCCAAAGTCAAGGGTAACTAACACCACTTGAAAGGAAAGCCAGGCTCAGATTGTGTGAACAGACAAAGAGCCAGAGATGTGTTTGAAAGCCTGATTTTTATTTTGTACTCATAAAGATTGCCTTTCCAAAATTTACCTTGTATTTATAAACCAAAAAGTTCTGATTCCAATATTTTGTTATAAAATTGTGATTTATCACCATCTGGGATTATGCAACCATGACTAGAAGGCCTCCTAGTGGAGTTTAACTGTACTGCAAGGGGCCTATTGTCTCAAGGAACCATCTACAGTTACCATCTGCATTTTCAGTATAGCTTCACACTAATGTGTTTCAGACATAAAGAGGTAAAGTCCAATCAAATCAGTTTGACATATGTCACCTTGATTTGTTTCTGGGAACAGAGCAGAATGTGAAATAGAGCCTAATACCATCGATTTTCCAGCTGGAATGTTGCCTTGGCATGTTACTCCCACTCTCTAAGGCAGAATAGAGCCCACTGCATCATTTATAGGCCTTTTATAGTGGAGAAATGTGTGGAACTTTGGGAATCTTTATAGAATCTAAAAATGCACCCCAGTATGGTAGCCACCAGCCACACATGGCTATTGAGCACTTGAACTGCAGCTAGTCCAAATTAAGATGTGCTGAAGGTATAAAAAACATCAGGTGTGAAGAATTAATATGTAAAATATCTCAATTTTATATTGATGACAAGTTCAGTGATAACATTTTGGGTGTTGGGTTAAATGAAATACATTTTTTAAAATGATATAAATGTGATTTGCATTATATTTTTACTGGGCAGCACATGAATCAAAATAATCATGGAAATATGCACATAATAGCTCCATAATCCAATAGAGAATAAGATGTTGCTGTTTTATTATAAAGGGCCTTGAGGAAAAAGAGTAAAATTAGCACTTAAAATGCAGAATTTACAGGCAAACAGCTATTTTTTTGAGGGCAGAAGTTGCAGGGTTAGGGAGCCAGTAATACTTAGAAGATTGACGTAAATTCTACACTCAAGTTGCTAGTACTTGTGGAGATTTTAAACAAAAGGATGTGTCTATTAAACATTCTTTTGTTCTATGCCTACTCTGCAAGCATTTGTGTGTTCATTAGAATAACCAAGGGCCAAAAGCCTGTTATGCTACATCTATCAAAATACAACTTCCTTATTGAAGAATCTATTTGAAGAATACTTCTGGTTTCCTAATCTAGTTTGTTTGATGCGTGTGTGTGTGTGTGTGTGTAGTAATGCAGTCTTTCGAGTTTTTTTTCTTATTATACTATGTTAAGCAAAACATTTCACAAAATACTTTCCTTCCCATGTTTTCACTTACCTGTTTGCTCTAAAATGCAGGTCTGGGTAAAATCCCCTTTTATAGTTTCCTTGCTATTAATAATTACTTTCTGCCTCTGTTTTTAACAGTAAGTGAATTCTTACCTTAGTCTTCACATTTCTCTTAAGTAGTGGTCATTAATGGTGGGTGGGTGGGTTGGGCGATAAATTTGACTCCCTTGGGGATATTTGGTAATGTCTAGAGACACTTGATTGTCACAACTGGGGGGGGGGGGGGGGGAAACCAGCATCTAGTAGGTAGTAGCTAGACATGCTGCAAAATATCATACAATGCACAGAACAGCCCCTACAACAAAGGATAAGCTGACCCAAAATGTCAGTAGTGCAGAGGCTGAGAAACTCTGTCTTAGTTAAATGTCATTGCCATCAATGCCCTGCTGAGGTGCTAGTGACTATGCTACAGGCTATTCCCAAAATGTGACTTTCCCACATATAGAAAGTTTCTCTGTAGTTTAAAGCCCTAGGTGGCTTTATTGCTAGCACCATTGTTTTCCCTTCTAAATGAAACTTATATATCACGGCACTTACAAAATAGCAATTCATTATTCATTGCAGTGTAAGAGGAGAATAAAATGGCCAGCAGGTATATGGAATTCTTCTGGTCTCCTCAAAAAGCTAGTTTTAGTGTGGATTGTTTACATGTGACCAAAAACTCACACTTTGCTTATCATGAACTCGGTGTTCTTAATGAGAGCTGGTCTTAGCTTGATCACTGAGGTGAATCCTGGCCAAAGTCTGCTGAGGAACTCCAGATTTCTGGCCTGGCTCCAGAGCCTGTAAACCCTGCAAAGATTGTTTTCATGATCTGTTTCTCCAACAAATAGCTTCAGTCTTCATTAAGGGCATTCAGCTCATCAATATAACATTTACAAACTAGCAGATGAACAAAAAACCCACACCCAGAAGATCATAACCAAACATCATTGATCACACCCCACCTCTCTCATTTTAACATTGACCAGAATATCCTGACTAATTTTACAACCCGAAAAATGATAAAAACCTGAAACTTGAGTTATTATATCGGCAAATCAAAACAGGTCTCTTCAAGTTGTCTGCAGTAGAATCTCTTTGAAATCAGGTAATGGATATGCCATGAGTCAGACCCCTTTCAAACTCTGGATAGCTCCAGCCACCACGGCAAAGATACATTTAATGCAGTTGATGATCTTGGCCAAGGACAATGCACAATTGCTGTCAAATGTAGCAACAGCACCAGGTAAACACGCAGTAGCAATGCAGGGAAATCACTGGAAACACTCAGTGGGAGATGAGGCCAGTGTTTCTAGAGCTCTGGGAAGTCAGAGGTGCTGCCTACCTCTCAGGTTAAAGGTGTCCAGTGCCCTTCCTCGTTGTCTTCTTTGCATGGGCATTTTTAATCTTACACTTTCTTGCATAAAAAAAATACAGTGCATGCCCTGTGGTTACAAACAGCATGGAGATGAAGACCAGCAAGCCAAACTGCTGCGGCCGTGGGGCCAGCATGACAAGGATGAAGTGGATGAGGTCCATGAAGTAGTTTAGGGAGCACTGCACACCGTTCACCGCCCCTCGCTCTGCTTCTGGAACATTCTCCTGCAGAAGCTGGGTCACAGTGAGGTCAAAGGACCAGAGGCCTGCAGGACAGCAGGGTAGGGGAAGAATAAGTGAATAGATGTCAGAGGCCCTTGGTGAGAATTCTGGCTCTGGCATTGGCTAGCATTGTTGCCTTGGATAAACAAAACTTTCTGTTGCTCAGTTTCCTCATCTGTGAAATGGCAATATTTCAGGCACAATCTCATTGGAGGATTCCATGAGATAGTACTGTAAAATGTGTAGCACTGTGCTGGCCATTTGCTCATGGTAATTACTGTTACAATTTGTGGGATTCTAATTCTTTTTGAATCACCATCACCACCGTCATCAGAGGCACTATAGCTTCACTTTGTATGCATTTATTTATGCCCCACTTCATTGCAAAAATGTTTAGGACAGAGAGCAAAGTCTTGGGCTTCAAATCTAGTTTCAGTTCTGGATTTTTTTCTCTTCCTTCCTGATTTGGCAGGAACAACATCTCCCCTAGGGGTTCTTGTGCCTGCCCCTGTTGTCCCACACCCAGCTTCTACCTGCCTGTTTGGTTTTCCAGCCATCTGGCCTCCTGGATTCTTCCCGAGATCCAGCTCTGGCTCTGCAGAGGCCTCCTGGTTGCCTCTATCCCAATCCCTGAGCTTAGCTCTGAAGTCTAGAATTATTTGGAGATAATGTGCTGTGTCTGCCAGTATCTGCCTTTGCAGAGAACCTCAGATCCTCTGTCCTCCAGGGCTGCCCTAGCCACTCTGCTGTGGCCCTGACCACGGGCCCTGACCAGGTCCTCATCCTCCTGAGTTTTTCAGGGTTTGGTCTGCTGAAGACCTTGCCCTGTACTAGACTCAGACCCAGAGCTCACCTGCAAAATCTCCACACCTGGCCCTTAGCATACTATGCTTACAGCATTAGGAAGAATTTGTAAAATGCTGCCATGGTACAATGTGGAGTGCTCAAAGACATAAGGGCTCATTATGCACTGAGAATTATTTCTATACTGAGGGCATAAAGAGTTACAGTTCTTAGATTTTAAGAAGCAAAGTGACTTTCAAGCAACATGCTAAATCTTGTTGTAGCCAGAATTCTATAATCTAATTTCCATCAGAATGGAAACAAGTATCTACTGAGCAAATACCTAGGATAAGCTTGGTGATATATACGTGATGGAGACCAAGGCAGGCCATAGGCCCCTGCTCTCAGTAACAGGACCAGTCATCACAGCCATCAGGCCTGACTGTGCTAAACATGCTAACAAAGCTCAAGCTGTCCTTTTGGACACACGCTTTTAATGCCTGCAGATTCAACACCACGCCACCAATCCCAAGGTCATTTGTAATCCTGATCAGAATAAATGTCAATGGTACCTGCTGGTGCTGGGTGTGCAGGTGTCAGGGGACAGCCAGCATTGTGATTCTCTGTGTCTCCCTGCCCGCCGTACACCCCACCCTCACACAGCAACACTCACAAAAGCAGCCAAAATTACAGCTAAAATATAACTATGGCTGGAGATGAGCGTTGATATACATTTTTAACAAGAAGCTCCTGTACTTGAGGAAAGTCTTGTGCTAAACATGTTACCTTCAGGAATTATTTCAGCACGTCCTCAGGACTTTCCTGATAGGAGGTACTATTATTATTATCCCTGTCTTATAGATAAGGAAATAGTGACACAGGGAGCTTAGGTAACTTGCCAACTTCATCAGGCAGTCTGGCTCCAGGTCCTGAGCTGCATTCATCATGGGTATCAAGATTGTTTTGTGTGTCTGGAATCATCCAGCACACAGCAAAAAAGCCTGCTTTTACAGTAGAGGAAAGGCTGAGGTTCTCTTGTACTGAATGCTTCTCCAGATGGCAGGCACTGCTGATGAGCTTTCATGTTTTCCAAATATGATCACTTCCTTTGTGTCAGGAAGAACCAAGTTATCCCAGTAGACAGGTCACACTGGTTGGCTTTTTTCTTTCCTTTTGAACTAAATACTTTATCATAAACCTTAAACAGCCAAACTTCTCTCAGTTGTTTGTGCAATTAAAGGCTAGAAGTACAAGTCAAATACCCTAATAAAAGGTAATCCACCCATCAGTTACCCTACTTAAAATATTTTACAGATTAGATAATCTCCAAATGAAAGTATAGGTTTCTACATCAGTTGTTTGGAATCAAGAACACAGTTTCTTTCTTGCACATACACATTACATCAGAGGAATGAGGTTCCCAGGCTAGCCCATAGTTTTATAACCTCTTGAATTGGGCCTACCAAACTTTCATTTCCTCTCTCCTAATATTCCAAGGTTTCTGTAGACCAAGAGGCTTTCAGCAGAGTCAGGAACACATCCCCTTCAATCCCATGGTCCCACCCCACTGTGGTTTCAGGGGTGAGAAGGTAAAGAACTGAGCCCCAAGAGGGCAGGAGCTTGCTTCAATTCCGTGCCTGGAGTAGTGAATGAGGTAGACAGAGGGGTGTGCGGGAAGGGTTGTTGAATGAATGGGGAAGATGTACTTGTTTCTGATCCACACCTTTCACCACCCACCACCACAATTTCTACTGTCCCTGTTTTTGACCTGGAGGTGGGAATTCCCTGACTCTGAGCTGTGGTCTCAGAGAGGGACTTTGCCTTGAATTTGGGGGGAGGGAACAGGGATTGGTCAGAGAGATGGTGCTGTCTGGGTAGAAATCTATCATGGGCAATTCCATGCCAAAAAGCAAGGCTCAGTCTCTTTTCAGGCTGGGAATCTACAGATCTAATCATGAGGGCCAATGAGCTGTTAAGTGGTTTCTGTTGCCATCACCATTGATCCCCAACATGTCATGTTGGAGTCATCAGGCATCAAATGACAAAAGGTTTTTTAATTTTTTTAAAAATATTTTATTTTATTTTATTTTGTCAATATACAATGTGGTTGATTATTTAATAAACACCCTTACCAAATCAGATCAGCTTCACTGCCAGGTATGAATGACATAAGGTTGGTAGCAGAGTTCAGAAGCCAAATACTTGGGGTAGACACACTTGTAGACTCTCAAGGTTAGACACCCCATCTTTGGGGAAGGATTGCACTGTCTTCCCCCAGGCAGCTAAGGAAAGACTTGGCCCCACCAAGCTGCCATCTTTCCTCTCTCCTCATCCCAGTTCCACAGAGAAAAGATCCAGGTCAAAATACTCCTTTGATGTAGATGCCATCTGTAGCATTTACATGATCGACACCCAGGAAATAACTAGTTTCCCTTCCTCAAGTCTCTAAGTTTTCACTTTTCAGCCTGCCCTTTGCACCACTGACCACCATCCCTAGAGCACTCTTCCCACTCCATGTCACCTACTTAGCCTGGTCTAGGAAGCCTTTCCCAATCCCCAAACCCAGATTTGGTGTCCCTCCTGTGTGTTCCAGTTTGTCTGTCCCTCCCTAACATGACTCTTATCACTCTATATTGTTGACAATTGTTGACTTCTTGCTTATCAGTCTTCCACTCAGACTCCATGGGGCTAAGACCTTGTCTGATTAAATCACTCAGGTAGCCAGACTGTCTACGACAGTTCTTGTCACATAACAGATTGAATGATGTAGATTTACAATGGCACAGCAGTGAGACTATCAAATGCTTCTAAGACAACTTAGCAACATCACGGGCCGCAGAATCCCACACCACTCACAACCCGTGCTCACCGATTCTCGCCAGGATCACACCAGAGAAGAGCAAGGCAGTGGAGACGTAGGACTCAGGCTGCTGCTGCTGGCCTTTGAACAGAACCATACTGTTGGTCCAGTGGATGGAAGACCGGTCTGGGACGATCGGTTGGTTCAGGTTTCTTTCAAAGGGATAAACATGTACCTCGTCCTCTTTTAGCAACACATGGTTTGAAGAGGAATTTTTGCTTAATGAAAGTAAGAAAACAGCCAGATCGAAAGGACTTCCAGGAGCAAAGACAGAAAACACGCAGAGCATTAGACAACCTATGTGGAGCCAGCTGGATATGATTCTCGTGGTGACCAAGCCGTAATGCCTCCTGAGCCGGGTGAAGAGAACTGTGCCCGTCAGGCCACATACAGCTGAAAGGGCAGTGAGGATGCTAAGCAGGGAGGCTCCGATCCCCTGGGTGTAGGCGTAGCCTGTGGTGATGCAGTCAAAGCCCAGGACGGTCATGTAGAGGAAGGCCAAGCCCAGGCCAGCCAGGAAGACAGTCTGCCTGCAGTACGCTTCCCATCCCTGGAGGCACGCGCAGAGCAGCCTTCGCATGTTGTGAAGCAAGGGAAGAAACCCTAAGGTTGTGGCCTTTTGTCTTTTAAGGTTAGACTTCTGGTCCTTTGACTTTTCCAAAGTTCTGTGCTTATTGATGAAACCATCAGTGGTTTCCCAAGAGACTGTCCCACCTTAAATAAAATCCAGATAAGCTTTAACTCAGACCTCTGCCCATATCCCCTCAGCCCATCCCCAACCTAATCTGCTTCTTTTTTGGACAATTCCTGTGTACACTGATGGCTTCCTATCCCCAGCACCTGTGTCTCTCTCCAGCCACAGGAACGTTGAGTGGCAGGCTATTAGTGCCCAGAAGTTAACACTCCTGGGAACAACTTTCCACCAATGAGTGACGAGAGTTGGTGGAGAAACGCCCCAGTTTCCTTGGCCCTTGGTGGGACAATTCTGCGGTGTGCCCTGCACAGTCCCTCAGAAGGTTTCCAGCAGGCTCCACCCAGCTGCCCTCAGCAGTAACCAATACATGAACACATCCTTCACTGGCTTTTCTCTCTCCCTGTCTCACTTTCCATCCCTCACCGTGCTTCCTGGGATCACATTCCAGTCAGCTAACTTTTTACCCCAAATCTTTGTTCCAGGGATTGCTCTTGAAAGAACCTGAACCAAGACACACAGTCAAGCCAAGAAGGTAGGCATCGAAAGGAGAGGGAGGATACGGGGGTGTAGAAGACAAAATCTTGCACACTTGAAACTTGGTCATAGGTCCTAGAAATAGTGATAGGTATTTCCTTTGGTTATTTTTCTGAAGAAACAGATACTTATGAAAGAAAATGATAAGTACCTTTCAGTCTTCCAGGATAGAAAAGGCAATGATTGTAAACAGATTTGAAAATATCTAACCATTTGTGAGAGGTATTTAGCACAAATTAAGACAAATTCTGAAAATGACTACAGGAGCCAAATAGGGCTGGGAAGGAAGGAGAGAGTGGCAGGTGTGCCAAATCCATTCTAGACCAAGACTGAGGGATGGGCGAAGCTCTTAATTATGGAAATGAATGTATTGCCAGAGCAGGTTTAAATAAATAAATTATGACAGCAACAGCAACAACAATGAAAAAAATAGCTAACATTAACTTAAGTCTTACTATACACCAGGAAGTAAAATAGGGCTTTACACAGACTGTCTTGTTAAATTGCCACACATCCCTATGAGATCAGTTTTGTTATAGTTTTTACTTTACAGATAGTGAGACAGAGTCTGAGTGAATTAATCTTGTGTGGTCACAGAGGTAGTAAGTGGCACACGGGAAGGATATAGCTCTATCTATCTATGTATCATCTATCTACCAACCTACTTATCCATCTGTCATCTAAGTATGTAATTCTATCCATTTATCTATCTCTATAAATACATATATTGCACTCACACAATGAGATCTTGTAGACTTTGCAAAACAACTTGAGAGAAAAAAGAATTAATTATAAGAAGTCTAGGGAAAAAAACCTGAGGTCAGAAGCAATTTTTGGACTGTGTTGTACCAGGCAGATGACAATACCATCAGGAGGTAGGGATGGCTCTTACTTTGGGAAAATAATGTCATATCTACTAGTGGGTCCCCCTTCATCATACCCATCATACTGTTAGGGAATTTCTCATTGAAAGGAAAAAAATCAAAAAACTTGTTGACAGCAGGCATGGCCAATTTATTGTATTGTCTTTACTAAAGAGAAACCCATACTCCCTGAGACAGTTGCCTCTCTAATTTAGCATCTTTGGGGAGAATATTCATGAGTGGGGTAGAAAGGAGTAATGCCCCATCACCATGTGATAGGTTGTGCAGATCGTATACAGCACAGTCCTATGGCAGTGCTACTTACACTGTAGTACCTCTGAATGAAGACCCTGGAGTTGTGCAGTGCACAACCTGTGTAACTGTACATTGCTGCCCTGTCTTGTCACCACCAACAAGATAAACCATATGAACTACATGACCAATGGCACAACTGGAGCCTTCTCATTTATCATGGTTTCTAGGCACATTTGCAGACAAAATGTCAAGATTATGATCAGACACAAGTTCCGGAAAGAAGAAATGAAACATTGACATAAAGCTGCAAAAAAATTAAATAAATGACAAGAACTCTCTCTGAGTCTAAGTTACCTTGAATGTTCACTGTCTCCTGTTGCATTTCTAGGATGTGCCCCCCTGTTTGTTGCTGAGGTTTTACAGCCAGTTGGGGAACTAGTTGATAAACTCTGGACAGAAATAGAAATTCTACAAGAAGTGAAACCAAGTTCCATCCAAGAATGAAACCACAACCGATCACATGAGATGCCCATGCCATCACCTGGCCCACAGACAGGGGAGCAAATATATTGATGATCTGGTCCAGCCGCCGGAGTGCTGCATTCATCCCTGTGAGTGAGAGGGGACATTACGAGTCAGTAGATGCGTCCTTCCTTCTGGTGAATTTCACATCATGCATTTGCTAGATTTGTTAGCCATGCACTGGGTGAATTATGCAGAAGATGGGAAAGATCTCTTTTGGTTTAATTATGGATTAATCATAGGATTTCCAATTGGAAAAGACCTTCAAGATCAGTTCTGTTGGAACTTGAACAATTAACAGAGGAGTAAACTGAGGAATAGAGAGACTAGGTAACGTGGAGCTAATTATCCTAACTCCCCTGTTTCCATCACACTCCACTGTTTTAACAACAGTAATATTAATATCCATTATCATAACTAACATCGACGGGGAGGGAGGAAGCAAGGGAGGGTAGGGGACAGAAGTAGTTGAATACTTACTGTGTCCTAGGCACAAAGTTATAAGCCTTCTACATATATTCATCCCTCTTACTCCTCATAACTTTAAGAGGTGGACAGTATTTCCCTTTACAAATTAGGAAACTGAGGCACAAAGACATGAATTTATTTGCTCAAGATCACAGAAGGCAAATGGTGGAGCTGAGATTCAAACCAGGCAGTCTGAGTCCAAAGCTTATTCACTTAACTGTTCTACCATCATTGCAGAATATATTTACAAGATTAGTTTTTAAATTGTGATGAAGCTCAATGGGGATCTGTGCTTTATTTTAGATTTCTTGCAAATTAATTAATAGAAAATAGAAATGAAGATTTTCATCACCCAAGGACAGAGAACACCTAAAACACCCTGTCAGCCAGCTTTTATCCACATAGCTGTTTTATTTTGGGTAGTGTTATTTAAGCCACAGTACATCTAAATAAGTGTAGTTTAAAAGAAAACATGATTATAAGGGGCTTTTACTCTTTGTAAGGAGTATATTTCCATAGACTCCTCCTTAATCGCTTCCTTTATCTTGGCCATCAATCCTCACGAACACTTTCTAGCAGAGAGTTGCACAAATATAGGGTACGACAAGATCTTCAGCTTTAACTTGGCAATTTGAACATATCTCAGCGTGAATGATCCAAGTTTTATAAATGGAAGAAAAAAACAAAGAAGATGCCAGAGTCTTTTACTTAGCTCCATATTGGGAAAAAAAAATTCTATCTCCACTAACAGTGATAACCAACAGTCACATTTAAGGAAGAATTATTTTTTTCTTTTCTTTTTGCTCTTTTTTTTTTTTTTTTAGCAGCTGGCAGGTACAGGGATCCAAACCTTTGACTTTGGTGCTATCAATACCACGCTCTAATCCACTGAGCTAACTGGCCAGCCTGAATTTTTTTAATAGAGGCTTATCACTGTCCAGAATTAAGACATCTTTTAATTCATTTATTTTCCATTCCTAAAATTGCCAAGGAATTTCTGTGATGCATTTTGAAAGGCTATGTATTCTTTCAGTGATAACAATATCAACCATTTCTTAGGTGCTTCCTATGTGCATATAGACTGTTAAGTCTGCAAATGGTGTGTCTCATAGGATCCTTCCCAAAACTGAGCTGGGGTGGGGAATGGAGGTATTTAAGTGTGTGTGTCATTATTTTTCCCATTCTACAGAGGAGAAAAGTCAAGTCCAGAGAAGTTAAGGACCTGGCCCAGGGTATGCAGCTGGTAAGAGGCATAGCTGGTTTTAGCTGGATTCAAACCCAGATCTGGTTGATTCTAAATACCATTTTCTTAAAGGCTACTTTACATCCTCTCTCAGAGCCCAGATTGGCTCACTGACTCTTTCTCAGCTGATCAGAGGACCCTTGAGACTCCAGTTGTCACTGCTCACCAGCCAGCTGGCCTCTATTGTCACCTGTGAGGCTCACAATCCAGTCCCTCTGAATGGTGATGGTCACTGCGGTGCCTGCCAGATTTGCCAAGGCCGCCAGGGCAATCACCACTGCATAGCAAGCCACCTACCAAAATGGGAAAGGGAGTTTGGAACCCAAGAATAGACTTTCCTGGCCTACTGTGGTACATACAGTTACTTCTCTGAGAGCTCGAGGAACATCTAAAGACCTTAGAGAGCAAAAGGTCCAACATAGGTTGGAACTAAAAATGTTCCTGAGTTAATGCTAAGCATTTTCTTCCTCCTGCCCCATTAGTGCCAGATCTGATGCTAATTTGCACCTTGCAGACACAGACTCTGCTGTTCTGTTGCCTTCGTGTCTGTGAGATTTCAGCTCAGATTCACAAATTAGGGGTGAGGAGAACACTGAGGGAAGATTAGCCAGATCCAAAACTAGTGAACAGGGCCATACAGGGATGACTCGCTGACGGACATGCAGGGCTGTGTCTGTGACACTGTGCTGGAGCCACAAGAGAGAGGTGGGAGACACTCACGGTGAACCAGCCAGGCCAGATCTGTTCCATCTCCCTCCTGTAGGAGAACACGAGCATCAGGACCACGCAGCAGGCGGTGACAGAGGCGTTCTGGGTGAAGAGTGAGGCACGAGCAACTGCAAATGGAAACATCCCAGAGCCCCATATTTATTCCTGGTTTTAAGAGGCAGGTCACATCTACATCATCATTTAATGCAGAGTAACTGCATTTGACCAAATCCCTGTGCCAACCGGGGTTATCATTTTCATCAGCAATCATGGGCTTAAGTAGGAGGCAAAGAGCAGGCTCCTGTTCTCACCAAAGACAATGCATTTGCAACCAAAAGAAAACATAAAAGTTGGAATTTGCAAGTGAATGGAAATATATTTTGAAGAAAAAATGATATAATAAGCAGAATTCTAGATAAATTAAGGACCTTAGAATTTTCTACTGCTACATCACACTCTTCTGGATTTAATTTGTGACTGAAGTTATCAATTTGGCCTAAGGACCAACACTCCAGATTTTAAATAAACTAGCCTTTTCAATGGCATGTTTCAGAGACTGCCTTTTCAAGTCCCCTAGGTGGAATGAAAACAGTCACGTTGACTAGCAATGAAAAGAACAGGAAAAACTTAGGAAATCCTATATTCTTACTGGTCAGATGAGGCTTAAGGAGATTTTATAGCCAAAATCTAAAAGTAGATCTACATTTGAACAAATAAGTTTTCAAATATTAGTTCCTAGTTTAAACAGATTACCTGTTACAAAAAATATCTTTTACACATATAAATAGTCTTTAATAAAATAACACAAATGTATTATACACTGATAATATCAGAATATTAAAAAGAAAGAACGTTTTTCAGGAATTTGATCTAAAAACCTGTACTTGATAAGAATCTAAAAACTATATTAAAATATTTTAAGTGTAACACCAGTGAATACGGCACAAAGGTGTATAACTCTTTTTCTGAGTTTTTGTTATGTTCTACAGCTATTGAGCTCATATCTGTAATTTTACTTCACTAAATAAACCAAAAAAGCTAGTAGGGTTATAGTGGTCCACATAATTATGTATATCACAGCTAAGGGTATTACCTTTATTTCTAGGTTTCCTGTCAATCCAATCACCAATTAATACCCCAAATATTAATACAGATCCAGCCACCACTAAGCCAAACACTGCTGTTAGAAGAAGATTGTGTCCATATAATTCTATCAGGAACATAGATCTGGCAAAGTGCCACATCCGGTCTCCCTGCAAGGCAGTAGAGGCAAAGCATATATCAACAATCATTGATTAAAAAATGAAACAAAGTTAAAATTCAGAAAGATGCATTTCTCCCAAAGGATATGTAATATGCAAGATTTAAAAACAGAACGTCAAAAGTACACTTTTATGCAATACAGCTGTAACTTTATTTTTGTGCAATATAGTTATAACTTTAAAAAGCTAGATGGAATATATTCTAAAATCTTAAAAGCATGAAAGAGCCAACAAACTAATGAGAAAATATCAGACAAATACTTGGGAGAACTTCAGAATCCTAAGAAGTAAACCCAGGATACCCTGAGACACCTGCTGATGACAAGAAAGAAAGAGCTGTGAAACAGAACTGCAGTGTTGGTGGCCTTAGAAAGTCAGATAATAGAACACCATGTCACCAAAGATGGGGACTAAGATAAACTAGTTCCCACTTTAAGCTGAGATCCCATGTAACTACACCCTTAGGTTAAGTAAGGGTAAACTGGAAGTAAAATAAACCTTGCATGGATTTGTATCTGTACACCCCATCTGTATGGTCCAGGTTATCTCAAGCCTTGAGCTTGGGTTAAATCCCTGTGCTAACCAGGGTTTTCTTTTCCATCAGCAATCATGGGCTTAAGTAGGAAGCAAATGGCTATTGCCCACTGTGCATCTGGTAGAAGCCAATTAAAATCCTCTCTACAGGAAGGTGACATTATCTTAGGCTTCAAAGTACTCCTGCAATAATTTTTAAATACAATGTCCAGCACATAGTCAAAGATAACCAGTCACATAAGGAAATGAGGGACCATGAGCAAAATCTACAATAAGTAACAGACAATAGAAACAGACCTACTGAGGGCCGGCCCAGTGGCACACTGCTACAGTGCCCTGCTTGGGAGCGCGGCGGCGCTCCCGCTGAGGGTTCGGATCCCACATACAGACCGGTTCCCACTCACTGGCTGAACGAGGTGCAGGCGCGACACTGAGGGTTGCGATCCCATTGCCGGTCCCGGTCCAGTACGGGTGCGACACTGAGGGTTGCGATCCGTTGCCGGACACGAAAAAAGACAAAAAGGAAAAAAAAAAGAAACAGACCTACTGAGACTTCAGATACTTAAATTATCAGATACAGATTATAAAATATTAATGCTTACTATATTCAAAGAAATAAATGTTAAGTCTGACAATCTGAGCAGGAATTGGAAACTACAAAGAATGACATGGCCAGTTTGAAAAAAAACTAAATAGAAATTCTAGGACTGAAAAATATAACAATAGAAAATAAAATTAAAAATTCAATTGATAGATTCCATAGCACAACAAAACATAGAAAGACAGAATGAGGGGAAGGATGGTAAGAAGATAAAAAAGGAGAAAAAGAAACACATAATGGGACAGACAAATAGAAAACACAAAATAAGATGGTAGATTTAGCTTAAATATATCATTAGTTACCATTGAGTATAAATAGACTAAATGTTCCAGTTAAAGGATAAAGATTGACAAATCATATTTAAAAATGTGATTACATGCTGTTTAAAGAGACACATTAAAACAAAAGAATAAGGGCCGGCCCAGTGGCGCACTGGATAGTGCGCCGCTTGGGAAGCGCGGCGGCGCTCCCGCCCGAGGGTTCGGATCCCACATACAGACGGTTCCCGCTCACTGGTTGAGTGAGGCACGGGAGCAACACCGAGGGTTGCGATCCCATTGCCGGTTCCCGGTCCGGTACGGGGGCAACACTGAGGGTTGCGATCCGTTGCCAGACACAAAAAAAGACAAAAGACAAAAAAAAAAAAGAATAAGAAAGATCGGAAGTAAAAAGATGGCTAATGATATATCATGCAAATGCTAACCAAGAGGAATTCATATCACTAAATAATATCAAAGTAGACTTTTCAGGCAAAAAATGCTTCTTGAAATAAAGAGCATCACTTCATAAAGATAAAAGTTCAATTCATCAGAAAGGTACAAAAATTCCAATTTTATATGTATCTAATAATAAGGGCTCAAAATATATGACACAAAAATATATCAAATTAAAAGGAATAATAGACAATCATTGTGGAAGATTTTAACTCACCACCTTCCTCTTGGTAATTGACAGAACAATCAAAAAATATAAATGTATAAATATATATTAAACCTGTGTGTGTTTGTGTGTGTTTGTTCAACCCAAAGATCACATTAAAAAAACATCATACCCAACAACTTCAAAATACATATGCTTTTTAAGCACATGAAACATTTGTAGAAATTAACCATATAATGAATTATAGAGCAAATCTTAACTTCAAAGTATTGAAACTATACAGAGGATATTCTCTCACCTCAAGGCAACTAAGGTAAAAATCAATGAGAAAAAAAATCAGAAAATCCTCCATATATTTGTAAGTGGAGGAATACACAAAGGTACTTCAAAAGGTTAATGGAAAAATGGAATTAAAAAATAATAGGGATCTTTCCATAAACTTTTTTTTTTTCCTTTTTGTCTTTTTTCGTGTCCGGCAATGGATCGCAACCCTCAGTGTTGCACCCATACCAGACCGGGACCGGCAACAAGATCGCAACCCTCAGTGTTGCTCCCACACCTCGCTCAGCCAATGAGCGGGAACCGGTCTGTATGTGGGATTCGAACCCTCGGCGGGAGCGCCACCGCACTCCCCAGTGGCGCACTGTAGCTGTGCGCCACCGGGCCGGCCCTCCATAAACTTTTTGAAGATCCTTCATATTTCCAAATAATTCATAGGTCAAACTAGTAATTACAAAGGACATTATAAAATATTTTTGACAAAGCATATCAAAATTGATCAGATGCATTTTAAGCATGGCTAACAGAGAAATTTGTCATCTTAAAGGCATATGTTAGAAAAGAAAAGCTGAATTTAATGAGCTAAATATCTATGTTAAGTTTGGAAAGGAACAGAAATTAAACCCAAAGAAAGTAGAAGAAAGGCAATAAAAATAAAGAGCAGAAATTAATGAACTAGAAAAGTGAAGACACGATAGAAAGGCTCGATAAAACCAAAACCTGGCTCTCTGGAAAGACTAATGAAATAAATTATGATACATTGCCTAACAATATACAGCAATGAAAAGCACCAAACCAGGGCTGCATGTGACAACATGGGGATTACAAACAATGCTGAACAAAAGAAGCAAGACATTACAGAATACACATGGCAGGATCTCGTTCACATAAAGTTAGAGACTAAATCAATGCTATCGTTTAGGGATGCCTACACCAGTGGTAAAACTGTAAAGAAAAGCAGGGAAACAAAGGCCATAGAAGTGAGACTCATGACCACTCCTCATTGGTGAGGAAGGGGGCGTGGCTGAGAAGAGCCCCATGGGGACACCTGGGTGCTGGCCACGTCCTAGTTCTTCACTCGGGTGGTGGTTCCATAAGACTCATTCTATAATTATTTGTTATACTCACCCTCATACATGTGTTTTATGCACTGTCCTCTATTTGTGCTGTATTTCATCATTAAAAAACACTTTTAAACAAAAGTACACACACATTTTGTGTTCAATATTTGAGATATTAGAGTTGTCCTCAATATTACAGTTCTCTTAACCATCCAAAATACATTCATTTCATTTTGATTCATCTTACCCATATCGATAAAGCACAGCTTCCATAAATCAAAAATCTTGGACTCATGAGGTAGATCAAAGCTGCTCCTAAAACACATATATCCAAACCATAAATGTTATTAAACAGTAAAAAATATATATTTATTTGAAGTAAATTTTGCCAGTGGACTCAGAGAAATTAAAATGCTGTTTAGCATGAATCTGCTTTTAGAGAGTAGCCCAGTGCTGAATAAAAATACAGGAAAGCATATGGTTGACTCAACAAGGTAGGAGATTCTCAGGGTTTTGTTTTGTTTTTCTTTGACTCAAAGCAGTCATACTCATTGTCACTGAGTGACCACTGGGGACATGTTCAACCATATCCTTTTTCTCGAGTCTAGAGATAAAGTCAGCAAGTCCACAGGGAGGGTCCCCTTTACCCAGAAGGAACAGGGACGAGGGGGAGGTCGCCAGAGCTGCAGTGCTTCTCCATGGGTTCCCAGCTGCAGGGGCCTCCTCTCCACCCTCCCATTGCTCAGAAAACCGCAGACTCTCCTCTCTTTTATACCTCTTACCCCAATCGGTCATCATGTTGCCTGGATCTTCTATAAAAATATCCCGAATCTGACCACTTTTCACCACCTCCACTGCTACCAGCCTAGCCACCCTTGTCTCTCACCCGGATATTGCAATAGTCCCCTCACTTGCCTCCACTTCTGCCTTGTTCCACTTTCAATCTATCCTCATCAGAGCAGCCAGAGTGGTCCTATTAAAAACCTAAGTCAGATCATGTGACTCCTTTGCTCAAAACCTCTAAGGGGGGCCGGCCCGGTGGCGCACTGGATGGTGCGCCGCTTGGGAAGCGCGGCGGCGCTCCCGTCCGAGGGTTCGGATCCCACATACAGACCGGCTCCCGCTCGCTGGCTGAGCAAGGC